TTGATCATTTTTACCTGGGATCAGAAATCCTTTGAAAAAAATTTTTTTTTATCTTCATCCATTTCTACCAGCTGAGGCGTTTATGCATTCTCACCGTGTTTGTTCTGTAGTAACAACCAAACACAGTGTGTGCTGCTCTGTTTCAGCCATCCATTGTAGACTATACTGCTGGGAAAAGGCACAATACCAAAGCCCACTGTTTTCATTTCTGAACTTTAGAGGTGGTCAAGGGCTTTTTTAACATTTGCATGTAATACTTTTCCTCTGTTAATCTAAAACAATTGCAAGGCTCAAATAAGCAGGCTGTTTGCATCTTTTCATCTGGTTCTTCTTACGGATGTGAATAAAGACATTTTCCAAAATTTTCCAAAATTTTTCCCTTAAGATGAACTGATCTCTAATCATGAGTCATGAAATTTCATTTTCATTTTCTTTCTCAGACTTTAATTGAATGAATATTTCTATTATTTAAGAAGAGAAGAGGCAGAATATAAAAAAAGAAAAGAAAAGAAAAGAAAACTGCAGAAAATTTAAAGAATTTCTTATTAGTTTAGATGATGTTTGGCTATTCAGATAAAGATGAATTCTTCCACCACTGCTCCTTAGTACAGTCATTATACACAATTTTAACTTTTACATTTAAAACCTTGAAAACATGATTTTACAGAAGCAAAACTAATTTTGCAATAAATTTTATCTTCAAAATAAATTTAAGATAAAAATGAATGAAGTCTTTTAATTAAGCATTAATAGACGTTAGGCATTAAAGCATCACAATGACAGGAGTAGCTGCCCAGATGCTTAGCTTAAGGAGAACTTGAGGCCTGCTTTTTCAAATGATGCAGGAAAAACTGCTACACATAACAGTACACAACCAGCAGAATTATAGTGACTGTAACATGTATTCAGACAAAAAAAAGTCATATCACTCTTGATGAAGAGAAGCTGGCTGGTGTGCAAAGAGTCTTGTCAGTATAAAAAAAACTGCAAATGTAGTCTTGGTATCTTTTACAAACAAAATCGGAGCGAGTGACGAATTGTGTCTCATGTGTCTTGCATGTAATGCAAATCCATTTCTCAGAAAGTGCACAAAAAGGAGTTGCAGTTAAAAAGTGTGTAAACGGATGAATACGCAGATCTTTTTAAGGTTTATCTTACTTTATCTTTATAAAATACTTTTGTCTTTGTCCCGTAGGATGATAAAACTCCTTTTTTCTCCCTTATGAAGTTGCCTGACTTCATTCTCCTCAAAGTTCAACTCTAAGATTTAGCTCTGACGGTGAGGTGCTTTGATATTCCCATGATGAATAATTTTATGAAAGAGCCGATTGTTAATGTTCAGCCTGTGATATTAATGCTAAAATAAACATTCTCTAACTGAAGCTTTACCACCGCGGCTCATTTTTACATGACAATGAATGGTGAATGGTCTGGAGTCTGTTTTTTATTCCTGCTCAATTTATTATTATTCATGTGAGGTGCTGTGGCTAAATCTTTCTCATCTGGTTGAACATGAGTCTTTCTTCCTGCTAGAGTCAGGATTTAAACCAATATTGAGGCTGCAGGGATCCAAGTATTCCTTGAAAAGCCTTTCCTCTTTCATCGTATTGTTACTTTTCCATCTGCGTGGCCACTGTCTTCCATTTCTTTCATTTGCTCGCTTGTTGCTTGTCTTTTTGGTCAGAGGCTGGTTAATGTGGGTTTATCCAGCCATCCAGGCGATTAATATGGGCTTATCCAGCCGTCCTCCACCTATCCACTGAGTAATGATTCGCACACCTATCCAGCAATTTTAACATGAAAACATGCACATGAAGACACCTACCCACCTCCTTTTTTCTCTGTCAGTACCACATCGGAGGGCAGATGCCTAAAGTGGCAAAGGGGGTAAGCTACGTGTAATAATTTCAGCTTTGCCTATGAATTAAAACAGAGAGAAAGGGTTTACTTGCTCTCCTCTCAGAGAGAAACTTTGATTTCATGGTGTTGATTATTTTTCTTCGCAGTCACTCAAGGATGAAGCACAAGGATTCATCAATTGTTCCCCTTCCAGATGCACCACAAAGGAGCTTCTTGGTTTGAAAAAAACAACAACATGTGGTTTCCCCCACTCTTTCTTTCTTACCTTCTTTTTCAGAAAGTAAGAAAGAAAGGGGCCTGAAAGCACTTTGTTCCACTTATTGAGATGTGGCAGTCACATACAGCAGACGCAAGCTTGCCAAAAACAAGTTCTTACTCTGTTGAAGGCAAAGAAACCTACTGACTGTAAAGATTGATCAGCGCAATAAAATTGTTGGTTCTATGTTGCTCTGAAGAGGCAACAAATGTCAAATGTAAATAAACAGAAACTTTCTAACTGTGGCAGGTTTTCTTTTTCCTGCATAGCATCCTTCTTTAATCCTGATGAATAAAGATCCTCATTTCCCTAAATATATGGAAACAGGAAAACTTGGCTAAAGTTCTGACAGGATAACTTTTGTTCTCTTGTGATCAATAAAATGCAACTTTTGATTTAAAAGTACTCACACACGCACATTATCTAATCTTTTTAATCAGATGTCTAGGCTTGTGTTACTCATATTTGAACTAGAACATTTGTTCTATAGAGAACTGTTCATCATGGCCAGCTTCCAGTAGACGTGGCATCCCTCAAGGATCCATTTTGGGTCCTCTTCTGTTTTCAGTTTACAAGTACCCCTCAGCTCTGTCTTTTAGAAACATAATATTTAATAGCACTGTTATACAGAAAATATTCTATCTGATTGTAAGTGACAGTGACTATTCTGTGAAGAACCTCTTGAAATGTTGTAATGATTTCAAATAGTCTTAAGTCTTAACTAAATTTCCAGCAAAGCTCAGGTAAATTTATTTTGCCCCAACCCAGCCTCAAAATCACTGCCATCAAGGCCCTTGGTCTTAACTGTAGATGAAAATCATTATGCTTTGTTGTTGACTTTGAACAGTCAAATCAATAGTGTTGTGAAGAACAACTGCGACTCATACTAAATTAAAGCCAGTTTTGCCTCTAGCTAGCTTAGAAAAAATTATCCAGGCCTTTATCACCTCTTGGCTGGACTATTGTAACTCCCGGATTTTATTATTCCACTCATTTTCAATTGCACGTGGGTCAAAACTTCTTCCATTTTACCTCATTTACACTGAGTAGCTGCATGGGTCCAAGGACACTGAGGTCATCCTCCCAACAGCTTCTCTTAGTGTCACCTACTCACCTAAACAACTAAAGGAGAGTATGATTTCTCTAATATTTCCATCTGACATGAGGACCTGTCCAACAGCTGGATTTGAATCATTTTTAAAGGCATACGTATTTTATATTTGTATTTAGTCATGCTTTGAGGTCAAGGTTTTGTCAATCGCACTGCATGTCTTTTTACTTCTGTTTTAATAAAGTTATTGTTTGTTCTTTTGTGATTCTTGTAACACACCCAAAAAAAGAAACGATTCTAGGTCTGACCAACCGTCTCAGCCGTGGGCAAAAAGATGACAGTCAATAAAATTCTAAAAGATAATTTATTGACAAATAATCAAAAGATAAAACAGTCCAGTGTCCCATTTATGAATCAAGTAAAACACACAGTCCCAAGGCCAGAGCCGGTTATGCCACACTGCCAGTTGCACTCCACGTGTTGCCTTCAGCGGGGTTAGAAGTTGTCCTCTGAGACCCACCACCCTGCAAGTATATACCCAGTGGTCACTCCAGCCTCTGCAACTCTGCTGCCTTTAGGCTGTGGCATATAATAGGCCCTGGCCTGCACAGAGAGACAAAATGACACCTTCACTATAGAATTCATAGCGCAAAACCCATCCATCCCAAACATAGACAAACACAAACCATTCACTCATCACAGGCAGACGAACACATTCATACCTGCACAGAGAGACAAAAATGACACAGCAGTGTTTGTAGTGTGGGCTATAAGTAGACCAGTGTATCAGTGCAATCAAGTACACCTGCCTCTAATTAGTCCAACCCCATTCCAGCCATTGGCTCACCAAAAATGTGACACACACACACACAACCACTCCCAACCCAGTGCAACTTCACACAATAATATGGAGCTGAATTAACACAGGCACATTAGTCTACCACGTTACAATTTTTCCAAGGTTTTTTTTTTTTTACTCAATTTCTTTTATTATTGCAAGTTTATTGCTATTGTAATTGTTTCTGTGGCTTTCATTGTTATCATGTTATTTGTTTATGTGGGGGGTTTGTTTTGAAAATTGATTTTTGGAAATCTGGAATGCAGATTCATCTGCCTGGAAAACACACTGGGGGTGGAGATTGGGGGGCATCCTGTTGTTTTAATAGTTAATGTTGAAAACTTTTATTGACATAAAAACTATGCTTAAACAGCATGTTGAAATTAATTTAAGTAAGGGGTAATTTGGGGTTTCTTTGGTGCTGGCTTGGTTAAGTCAGGGGTGGGTGGGAATCAGACTCATGTTTACACCCTTATTTGTCACAGCCACAGATCCTAGCCTGGGATTTATACTCAAAGCTATTCTGTGGATACATTTTTCAGTTTAGTTTAGCTCATATCAAGAGCACTTCAGACTTGTGTGTCACCAAGCTCTCTCATGTCCAAATGACACAATTTACTCTCAAATCTACTCCAGTCAAATTTTACTTAACTTTTGTTTAAATATACCAGGGGAAA